CACACTCACACACCTGATACACCTCCCCACACTCACACACCTGATACACCTCCCCACACTCACACACCTGATACACCTCCCCACACTCACACACCTGATACACCTCCCTCACTCACACACCTGATACACCTCCCACACTCACACCTGATACACCTCCCACACACTCACACCTGATACACCTCCCACACACTCACACCTGATACACCTCCCCCACACTCACACCTGATACACCTCCCCCACACTCACACACCTGATACACCTCCCCCACTCACACACCTGATACACCTCCCACACACTCACACACCTGATACACCTCCCACACTCACACACCTGATACACCTCCCCACACTCACACACCTGATACACCTCCCCCACACTCACACCTGATACACCTCCCCCACACTCACACCTGATACACCTCCCACACACTCACACACCTGATACACCTCCCACACTCACACACACGATACACCTCCCACACTCACACACGATACACCTCCCACACACTCACACACCTGATACACCTCCCACACTCACACACCTGATACACCTCCCACACTCACACACGATACACCTCCCACACTCACACACCTGATACACCTCCCACACTCACACACCTGATACACCTCCCACACACTCACACACCTGATACACCTACCACACTCACACACCTGATACACCTCCCCACACTCACACACCTGATACACCTCCCCACACTCACACACCTGATACACCTCCCCACACTCACACACCTGATACACCTCCCCCACACTCACACACCTGATACACCTCCCCACACTCACACACCTGATACACCTCCCACACTCACACACCTGATACACCTCCCCACACTCACACCTGATACACCTCCCCCACACTCACACCTGATACACCTCCCCCACACTCACACACGATACACCTCCCACACTCACACACCTGATACACCTCCCACACTCACACACCTGATACACCTCCCCCACTCACACACCTGATACATCTCCCCCACTCACACACCTGATACATCTCCCCCACTCACACACCTGATACACCTCTCCCCCACACTCACACCTGATACACCTCTCCCCCACACTCACACACCTGATACACCTCCCCCACACTCACACACCTGATACACCTCCCCACACTCACACACCTGATACACTTTAGTGGGGAGTTCAGGTGGATCTTGGGAGACCCCGGATGTCTGCGCTGTGCCGAACCCTGATAATAAGTAACCTTTCCCCCGCCGACAGGTCCACATTCAGAATGCCGCGCTGGCAGGGGGCGTGGCGGTGGGCACGGCGGGTGAAATGATGCTCACGCCCTTCGGCTCCATGGTCGTGGGCTTCCTGGCGGGCACCATCTCCACCCTGGGCTTCAAGTACCTCTCGGTAAGAGAAGCCCTTCCTCCCGTCAGTTCTGCACTTGTGAAAACACTTTCGTTTCCAGTCCCAGAAATCAGTCAAGCCCGATCTCTTCAGTGGTGAATACCACCTCCAGAGCCTTTACAGAGTCAGGGGTGGCTGAACCTGTCATCTTTATTGGTTACAGCACTGGATATTTTTAATCCACTGTCCTGGGCAACGGTCATTGACTTGGGCTACAGACAGTAAGACTCTGGGTCAAAACTGGCACACCGGCACTTTCTCCTAATTGTATTACTAGTTCTGAATCAGCCGAAACTATTTCCCAATGATGGCGTATTGATGTGCCCTTCAGCGTATCGAGCACGAGATGTGCAAGACAGAGTCTCCTCCTGCTTTGAGTCTGCTGATTTTAAAGGGGAACTGTAGCATTATTTTTATATTTCTGGGTTCAAAAGAATCGGCATTGATGAGGGCATTTCAAACCACAATGAAAGCAAAATGTTCACAGTAACACGTAAAACTAATTTGCACCACAAAATAATTGAATTTCCATTTATGTGCAGCATTGTATTCTGCCATTCAGAGCGAGACATCCAGTGAGGTGAAGCGGCCCTGTGACATTGTAAACAAGCAGGCTTGTGAATACATCACTTTTAATCCAGTAGAAATATGGCTCTTGACTTTGAGACGGTTTTGCAGACAAATACTTCTTACTCGTTAACTCTGCATGCAGATCACGTGGGAACATTTCTGAGACTAAATATCTGCCACACAGCCTGTAGTTATTCGCTCGTACATCACAGTGCATTAGTCATTACAGGGACTAGTGAGCAGGAAGGGCTGCATCATGTCACCACTCGTGCAAACTCTCGGCAGAGGGGCAACTATATAGTACTTTCACAATGTTCACATGTTGTGCTTAATTCGGAGAGTTGGCGACTTTTGCAAGACCGTCAATGACTTGATTTTGTGACCCGAGTTTTCTTGAGCGGTCTGAGAAAGTGGGAGTGCTGCTCTGACCCCCTGCGCTGCCTCCTCTGTGCCTCTCTCTACCCCCCTCAGCCTGTCCTCGAGGCGAAGCTCAAGGTCCAGGACACGTGTGGCGTCCACAACCTCCATGGCATGCCGGGGATCCTGGGAGCCATCGTAGGGGCGATCACTGCCTCTTTGGCTACACACGATGTCTATGGAGAAGGGTAAGGACCACCTCTCAGATCAGGCTTGTTTTCTGGGCTGAAGGTGGGGCGTACTTCTCTGACCACGCACACGGGGCACTGAGCAGCACACGGGACGTCCCGAGCTGAATCGTTCTGACGGGGGGGGGGGGCATACCTGTGTGGGTTATATTTCACTCCCTAGTTATTGCTGGGAGTGGTCTCAGCCTTTAAGCCACTGGCGTCTTCCTAATTGAAGTTCAAGCAGGGAGCTGCATCAGCATGCGTAGGCTGCAAAGGAACAGGTAAAGGTTCATTCCATCACCAGTTCTTGACACACCTGAAGAAGGCTCCACAGCCGAAATGCTGCATCTCTTATCCTTTCAGCGCGGAATAAACCTTTACCTGTTCCTTGGCTTCCTAATTGGGTGGGTGGGAAATGTAAAGAATCCTTTCCAATTCCACGCGTATGGAAAGAGAGCATGTGGGAACACAGGAAGGGATATAAATGAGTGGAGCCACGTGGTCTGTGTGGTGCAGTGGGACAGATGATTTGGAGACGCGCAGAAGGGCAGGTGGCTCGAACATCGTGTGGGCCTGCACAGCTGGGCTTGCAGTAGCCTCTGCGTGGTGGCCGTGGTCTCAGGCTTTGCTGTCTTGGCTCTGCAGGATGGAGGAGGTGTTCCCAGACATCTTCAGCGGGGAAGTGACGGCGTTGAAGCAGGGCTTGAACCAGGCTCTCTCCTTGCTCATCACGCTGGGCATCGCGCTGGGGGGCGGCATCATTGTGGGTGAGTGGCCGGGGAAGGGATCGTGAACTGGGCCACTCTGTTTAGGACGTTAGAGGTGAGGGGCAGTGGCAGACAGTTCACCTGCACTGGAAAAAACTGTGTACTGATGGTGGACCAAATTAATGGCCATCTCCTTTAATTGCACTAAATGATTCCGATCACCTCTCAATGTCTGTTTGTCAGGCAGTAAGTCCGATAGGAAAAGCGTTCTTTTGCATGGACCGTAAAAACTGCAGAGCGATTGTGTTCAGGTGCCTAGTAATGAGCTGCACTCTGACTACTGCAGTTCATTCCTGATGCACCAAATCCCCCTTTTCTCTCCATCCTGACAGGATTCGTCTTGAAGCTCCCTGTCTTCGGATCCCCTCCTGACACCATGTGCTTTGAAGACGGGGTCTACTGGGAGGTACGATCTCCCGGTCCAGTCCGCTGGATTCGTCCCGTCGGAGTCCCAGTCTTTCCTATTGCACTCTGTTAAAAAGCCTACAGCATCCGTGCAGTGTCAGGTTAGATGTGCCTGAGCAGTGAGATAAGACTTATGTGATGTTATTAGTCTCAAAAAGAAGAGGTCGGTCATTGCTAATGGTGTCGTCACTTAATTTAGCGCGTGATCATTTGAGATCTTCCATCTCTCTGTTCTCTAACCACTTCTAGTCCAGGGTCGCGCTGGAGCCAGAGCCCAGCTGGACCAGCAACGGGCTCAGGGCAGGGTACCCCCTGGCCAGGACGCCAGTCCATCACAAGGCACACACAGACACACACACACACACTCACACCACGGACGCTTTTCCCAGAAGCCAATTAACCCACCAGCATGTCGGGACTGTGGGAGGAAACCAGAGCACCTGGAGGAAACCCATGCAAACTCGGGGAGAACATGCAGACTCCACACAGACAGCGCCCCAGGTCCAGAGTTGAACAACCACTGCACCGCAGAACCGTCCCATTCAAGATCATCTGAAACACAAATCAGAACGCAGTTCAGCCCTGCGGGATTTGACTTTCTTTTATTGAACAAACCATTCGCTTGATTGCTTAAATGTCCCCAGTCTCTCGAAACAGGCCAGACCAGTGCGATTTATTGAAGACTAACTGGAGTGGGGCTCTCCATGAAGTCGTTTCTGAAGTGAAGGAAAAAAGAACTCTTGGGAGGGCAATGCAGGGATGTGTCCACAAGGTGGCAGCGTTGCTCAGATAATTGCAATGAGTTTTTATTAAAGTGGGTTTCAAGTTGGTGTTGGCCGTTTGGTTCCAACACCTGCTCGGTTGAGAGGGTAGTGATGTAATGCGAATGAATCGATTTTCCATGCAAGACATTCAGTTTCATGGGTAAGTGATTGCTTTGCCTGTAGTATTCCAGTCTTTCCGTTCAAGTCCATCCTGCCTAGAACTGACGTAAGTTCGGAAAGCTTCACGGTGGCATTCTGCTGTCCACAGCCAAAACTGTTATCGAATTCACAAAGGGAGATTTATTTCTTGGGTAAGTCTTCATATGAGAGGAGTCGGGGATTAGGAGTGGGTAAACGGCTCCATGAACCACATTGCTTGCCCGATAAGGCAGAGCTAAGGGTATTTCTGTCCCGCCTGCTCGACCCCCCCGCCTTTCAATCTGCCTCGTGTTTTCCAGGTGCCAGAGGAAGACGAGGCCCACGACGAGCTGACCGCGGTTCGACACGAAGCCCCCGACGAGACGGAAAAGCCACTCAACGGTTAACGCTCAGGAGGAAGCGGCGCCGAAGCTGTCCCACACAGACACCCCCACACACCCGCCTGCACACCCACACTAAACCGAAGAACACGAGCTTTTTAAATTCGTTTTCTGGGTCCTTTCAGACTGAGCCACATCACCGAGCCGTGGAATCTCGTCTACCTGGGTACCTGACCGTCCTGGCCTTACCTTGGCGTGGTCTAAGACATTCAGTCAGATCAGCTGTGCTGTGTCCTCTGTGTCCTGAGCGGATGTGCTCGGAGCCACAGGCTCAAGGCTCAGAGGGCGCTGGCAGTCCTGCTCTCAAGGGGCTCTTTTTACAGCTTTCTAGCCCAGAGGCCACAGCGAGCGCGTCCGAAAAAACTAACCGCGCTGCAGCTGCGCTGCCTCTCGCCTGAACTGAAAAAGAAAATGTTAAAAATCTTATCTGCTGCGGTTACGCTTTTTAATAGAGTCCCTTGTTTGCCAAGCTGATACCTGAGGTTTCTAAATCTCTGAATTCCATGAGCACGGTGAGCCTTTTACAGCCAGTAAAATTCCGTTCCCAGCGTCTACACTCACACACACTGAATAGTATATATTAATTTTCAACTTAGTAGTGAAGTGGTGCTGTTTTTTCATTTACCACGCTCATTTCCCCCCAAAACACGTGAATAGACTCACGTGTTTGACGTCCGCTACGCTCAAGCAAACATGTTCTGTTAACATTTTCATGTTTTTATTTAAAATATGACCCGTGTGCTCCTTTGATTCAACCAGCGTCTCCTTTTCTCGTCGCCTCTCTGTCTCTTGGGGCGTCACTTGGCGTCCGCTGAGACAGAACGGAGTAAATTCAGTTGACCGATTCCTTACCCGAGTACTCCTTACAAGAGTCTTGTAACTCTTGAACGCTCCTCTACGCGTATCGTACGAGATCGCCGGCGGAGCCGGGACAGTGGCCGATACGATTCTGAAGTGCTTGTCAAGGACGTAGAGAGCCACCAGGGGTCACTGTTGAGCCTCTCTGGTACACTGCGTAGGAAAGATGCCAAACCTGTCTTAACTAGAATAGTTCAGTTCAGGGAGTTCAGAGAGTGTGATTTGAAAAGAGGAAGAGCTTTGTTACTCTACCCTACCCTAAAGTTTTTTAAATTAAATGTTTAAAATTCGGCTTTGCATTTTTAAAAGATGGGAACTATTTTTTCCTTCTTTGAACGAGAGTTGAGATCGTTTAAGATGCAGCAATTTTTCATTTTTTCCCCCTTTTTCCCACACTGAGAGATATAATTCCCTCCTGAGAAAAGATAACTTTAATGCCTCAAAAGCAAAGCCCGTTCTTCCCAATACTCTTTTGAGAAACAGTGTAACATGAAAAACAATTGGTTGCGCATCATAAATATTTTTACATGTACAGATGACCGGTTTGAAATGTAGTTAAAAGTTCGGCTCATAACCTGCCCTGTCTGTTTAGTAGATTAGCAGATTTCTTCATTAAATTTTCGCTGTTATCTCAGAAACGACCTCTTCATGTTTCTCTATCAACTTCCGAAACTTTGTTACACAACACTGTTACATTTAGGGCAGAAAAAAAAAACGTAAGCAGCTCTTTGACTAAACGAACAGCCTCAAACAACAGCAAACCTCGCCTAAAAAAAGATTCTTTCCCTTTTGCAAAAACTACAAATAAAAGCACTGTTGGCCAAGCCAATACGAGACGACTTTTTTTTAGCAGTAGGCTGCGTGTTTACGGCTTCTGTTTCAAGTGTTTAAACGATGTGTCTAAACTGTAGTACCGTGGCGAAAACTCACGGAGAAAAAAGCTTAAAATCATTGTATTCTCGATATTCAAAAGGTAAAAGTTGAAAATAAATAAAGAATTTATGGCTCCTTTTTCACAAACGGTATTGTATATTCTGTTTATTTCACGTGAGGCCCAGAATCCTCTGCGCTCTGTTGGCGTCTCGCTTTTAGCGGACGAAGGTTTAGAGGTCTGGGAGTCTGGAATAAACTGACAACAAGACTTCTTTTCGCAGAGGGTGGTGGGAATATGGAACAAGTTACCCAGCCATGATGTTCAAGGCGACATGCGGGCGTCTTTCAAGAAACACCAAAAACGCTCTAGATCGGCCGATCGACCTCTCGTTTATCGCCTTTGATTTTTTAAATACTATTTTAAAAAAAAACTCCTGTTTCGTTGATGAGATGAGAGAATGACCACTAATGACCCTAATGACTAATGACTAATGACCCACTAATGACCCTAATCTTTCCTCGATTCGCTTTATTTGTTTAACCACGGCTTGCTTCTGAGAAGCAATTCTTTACACAGAGGGTGGCGGGTGTCCGGAACAAGATGTCCGGCTGTTCTGGCTGGGTGGAATTATCAGATGAGTTACAACTAATCCTCCCCTTTGGAATCCTTCTTTATACCATTAAATCTCCTTTTTCTCAGGAGACTGGTTTCTCAGCGGGGGCGGGGCAGCAGATACCCCAGCAGCTATTGCCGGACTTCGAGTCTTCCAATGAACTAACTACTGAGTTCACCGCTTCTTCACGAGCCCACACCGCCTGAGGTTTCAAACGTGCACGCTCTGTGGACAGGGAGACCCCGTTTTGCCAGCTAGTCTGAAAGGCGCCATCTTGTACGGCAGAGCGCCCCCTGTCGCCAGTTGGCTCACCTCAGCGTCAACTCTAACTAGCGACTAGTTTCCTTGTTTTGAAAACGATGCTCTCCGCTCAGCAGATGACAATCGCGACGGCTATCGGCGACGCAGTGTATTTTAAAAATGACGAGCGCCTCGTTTGTGCTGGGGGGGGCAATACATTTTTCTGCACTCGGGTCTTTGGACCGGCTGTTCGGAATGGCAGTTTCTGAAACTGGGTTGAAGGAGTAGAAATGTAGAGTTTGATCAGTTGCTATCCCAGGCAGAGACGCTAATTCGGTGTAACGTTTTGCCTGTAACGGGGCTGCAAGATTTAAAAAGCTAGGCTACGTCAACTGGACGGAATCTGTTGGTGTTCCGGTCGTTGGGGGGGGGTTTCAAGTGATTATTTTTTGATGACCCTCCATCGGTGCATAACCGCCAGACAGACGTTTTTCTCATCCGCCAATTAAAAACCTATTTTACTTTGTGGAGTCAACAGCTGGGGGCGCTGATGAGGCGCTCTGAGCCACGTGCTTGTTCTCTCACAGGGGGGTGGTCGGCTGCGCGCGGCGCTGCAGCCGTCCTGCTCGGGGTCTTTCCGATCTCTGGCAGCGCGGCGGCGCGACCGGCGGGTCCCGTGGGCGGAACTGAGCAGGTGGGCCTCCGAGCT